AATGAGTATGAAGCATCATTGATGATCTGTTCTTTTGTCATTAATTTCTTCTCTCCTCCCTCCCCACCATTGCTTACCACACAATAAAGCATTTTTTTTTAAGATTTGTTTTTAAATGTGCTTGTACTTTTCACACAGAACCAAAAAAAGAGAAGGAGGCTGGAACTGCAAAAATAACAGGTAAGATGGTGGGAGGGAGAGTGAGCCTGAATTCAACAAAGTTAGAAGCAGAAAGATTTTATACTCACATTATATATTATGTGATATACTATATATATCACGTTTTTCACACCCACTTGTTATAACGTGGTCCCAGCATAGCAAAGTGTGTTTTAACAAGACCTATATTGCCTGTTTCTATGTATGCTTCTTCCCAAAATGATCAGATTTATTAACTGTTTTTACTGAAAGTTGAATGTGACTCTACATTATGATTCCCACATTCATAATTCATGTCTAGCATAATAAATGAGTATGTAGCATCATTGATGATCTGTTCTGTTGTCATTAATTTCTTCTCTCCTCCCTCCCCACCATTGCTTACCACACAATAAAGCATTTTCTTTAAGATGTTTTTAAAAATGTGCTTGTACTTTCCACACAGAACCAAAAAAAGAGAAGGAGGCTGGAACTGCACCAGCAACAGGTAAGTTGGTAGGAGGGAGAGTGAGCCTGAATTCAACAAAGTTAGAAGCAGAAAGATTTTATACCCACATTTTATATTATGTGATATACTATATATATCACATTTTCCACACCCACCTGTTATAACGTGGCCCCAGCATAGCTAAATATATTTTAACAAGACCTATATTGCATGTTTCTATGTATGCTTCTTCCCAAAATGATCAGATTTATTAACTGTTTTTACTGAAAGTTGAATGTGACTCTACATTGTGATTCCCAAATTCATAATTCATGTCTAACATAATAAATGAGTATGTAGCATCATTGATGATCTGTTCTGTTGTCATTAATTTCTTCTCTCCACCCTCCCCCCATTGCTCACCACACGAGAAAACACTTTAAGATATTTTTTTAAAATGTGCTTGTACTTTCCACACAGAACCAAAAAAAGAGAAGGAGGCTGGAACTGCACCAGCAAAAGGTGAGTTGGTGGGAGGGAGAGTGAAGCTGAATTCAACAAAGTTAGAAGCAGAAAGGTTGGTAATGATTGCCACAGAGGCCACATAGAATTTGTCCTCATTAGCTTACCAAGATTCAGATGTCTATTCATCAGTCAAAAAAAAAAAAAAAGAGAGAATTCCTTGGCTGAAACAGTTCTTTTCTCACATATACCTGAAGTGAGACACCATTTGTAGGAAATAAACTAGTATGATTCTAAACAGACAGAGCTGTAAACCAGAAGGTCTCCACTGAGAACAGTTGATGATATGGCTCTGGTATTGCATTTATTGCCACTCAACTCACCTAAGAAGATTAATATGTGCACCAAAATATTTTCTTTCAAACTACTGTACAATCGCAGATTTTATACCCTATAATATAATCTAGAAGCCCAAACTGTTGGAACCATTACATGGGTCCAACTTCCTTAAAGACTCTGTCCCTTGTTGGGGTCTACAGTGAAGTGACCCGTATTTTACACTCACTTTCACACTGGCATGTTATAACGTGGTCCCAACATAGCTAGGTGTAGTTTGACAAGATCTGCATCACATGTTTCTATGTACACTTTTCTCCAAAATGATCAGATTTATTAACTGCTTTTATTAGAAATTAAATGTGACTCTTTATGTATTATGATTCCCAAATTCATAATTCATGTCTAGCATAATAAATGAGTATGTAGCATCATTGATGATCTGTTCTATTGTCATTAATTTCTTCTCTCCCCCCTCCCCCGCATCGCTCACCACACAAG